AAACAAACGTTTTATGGTAAAATAATACGTTACATGTATATAAACAGGCATTTTTAACAGGCGTAAGTCATAAAATAAGAAACCGGTCAAGAGGTGAACCGAATTATAATATTACATTTGTATAGCATTATTATAATAAATTATATTGGTACTATAATTGTATTTATTATTGACTATTGCATTACATTTTATTATTTTAGATCTGTAATAGTAAGTAATTAACAATTTTTTATGATATTATATGATTTTTAATGTGACATCGATGTATTTTTCAATACAATTTTAAAATATTTATACTTCAATTTTGATATATTATTTTCATTCATTTTTATAGGGACTTTTTTTTCCTATGTTATAATATACACTCGTAAGACTGAGACAATAATGGCCACGTGGAGTAGCGTCCTCTCTGAAATTTAACACATCCATTGCCACAAACCCATCATTTGCCCACATTTTTATACTTTGCGTTCCCTGGACGATTTATTGTTATATAATATGTATCGGACGTTTTTTTTGAAAATATACCTTTGCTGCAATATTCACGAAGTGACTGTTTGGGGACAAAATTCACCGACGGCCTCGTATAACTGTATAGCTGTTTACTACACCTTGTGTGTATTGTATACCGTTAATCCCTGAATTCGTAGAAAATTCCTATACGAACACAGTCTGTCAGACCTTCGGAACATTAATGGCCACATCTGCAGTGACAATAACAATTTCAGAACATTATAATATAAGTGTGAATACGGTGTGGTATACAAAATATATGGACCACCATAAGAAGTTAATAAGAAAATGTTGTACAATACGATTCATCAGTTATTTCTCAATAAACAGTCGGCGGATTCAACATAAATAAATTTCCGGCGGATTCGACAAAACCACGAAATTTGCACGTACCTATACAAGTCGATAGCGCATTATTGTGTATATAAATATATTTCGTTACAGTATGTATTGTTCGTTATTAAGTGGCGTTTTGGGATTGAGACTTCGATCTAGCAAAGTAAACGATATAACACATGATAATATTTTAAAGACTCGACAAAAAAAATGTGCATAGAAAGGTCCTGACACGATACCATATTGTGTTCTAAGTGACGTCCGGTAGACGGGAAACCTAACAGTTTATAGATTATATATAGTACCTTTAGGCCCATCGAATTTTTTTTGTAAACCGTAAATAATTGGAATTTGGACAAAATGTTTTATTGTAGCCATATATTTTGAATTTCGGTATGCCTAGTACCCAAATATTCGACAGACGACGGTCGGCGGCACTGACAATATAATCTAATAATGATTAATGACGATTAAGAGCGTCTTGTAAAATGTATACCGTCTAGGTCTGTATGGCGCGGGCTATCTTTGTCCTTTTTATAAAGTATAAGGTATATTATTTTTTACATAATATAAAAACACACCGGCACGATAATCCTAAATTCGCTACAGTCGTTTATAGTTTACGATAAAAACCATTTCGGTTTTCAATATGATCATTATTTACTGTGGATAGTGGTGACCAAAAATTGTGACCACTTGGAGTTCCATGTAATATATTACACTGAAAAAAAATAATTGTTCTACTAACAAAAATATGGTTACCATAACTGTTAAAAGTAGCTGGCTCAGGGACAGCAGTAATTTTAGTTGTATGTACAAATCAATTCTGGTTGGCTGTTACTAGTTGTAACAGTAATATTGTTTGTTGTTGTAACTAAACTTTATTTGTAATGCATACAGCAATTATATACTCTCAACAAAATACCATTATGTAATCATAACAGAAAATATTACAATGTTTGTTGGTAGATCAGAATATTTTTTTAAACCTAGCAAATTTTATGTTCTATTATTGTTAAGAGAACATTTCTTGTGTCTTAGAAGTAGCTAACTATTTTTGTATGATTACAAGATTCTTATGTTAAATTCATAGAGCACTTTGTTAGGCCAACCATAATTAATTTGTTAAATTCATAGCGCACTAGGTTAGGCTAACCATAATTAGTTTGTTAAAATAACCAAACAGAACCGCTACTTGTGCAAAATATATTATATTTTTTGGTTGTAGTTACTGAATATCATAGCTGATCATAGGGGGTGATTGGGGGGGCTTAGTACCCCCAGGCTCCTCCAGATTTTTACCACCAATTTTTCTAATTAATTTATTTCACCAATAATTTGTAAATTACTGAGGTTTATTGGTTTGGATACATCATAATATGAACTATAAGTAAAATAATAAAATTAGCACCACCTAATATTTCACACCAATGTGCGCTAAACATACAATTTACAGAATTACATTTTTGCAAAAATTCAACACCATTATTTTGATAAGAAGTAAATTTTATTGATACAAATAAATGTTTACAAATTACATATTCAATTTATTATATTTTAATAATTTATGATTAAAACTAAAATAGTTTCATGTATAAGTTTAAATTACAAAGGGCTTCTTACAGTTACAAATTTGGTTCCATCTGGAGTAACATTTAAATTATTTGGGATAGGAGATACCAGGGAATCTTGAAAAATGAAACAATTATTATTTGTTTCTGGAAATATCACTTCATATGAATATACATGTTCATTAAATCCTACCATTAAAAGAGAATTGCATTCAAAAATTATTCTATTAGAATCATAAAGAAAAATATTGTTCACAGAAACAAATTTATAATTATTATCTTCCAAAATATCTTGGGTTAATATATGTTTTATTTTATAACGTATACCTTCAATTGTTGCCCAACTAACACAAAATAAAGATTTATCAAGATCAAGATTGAGTTCGTTTTTTATTGCATGAGATTTCATTGGACATAATGACTTACAAGGACCTACAACTACATTTGAACATAATTTACCCTTGCCAAATATATCATTTAGCTGTAACTGATGTTTGATTGCTAAAGTTAAGCATATATTACGTCGATTGAAAGATGATCTAGCCGCAATTTTAGAGATCCTATGTTTGGCTTCAAAACGCATAGACCAAAAATTACCTACAGGACCAAATTTTTTAATCAGTGATGGGTAATGAAGTAAAAAATGAAATTTAGGTTTAAGAGATTTTTTACTATATTTCAAATAAAGCTCGTTTAATTCTTCAACTAAAGTTTTTAGTAAGAAAGTACTTTGTTCTTCAACTAGTGATGACAACATAATATCTATAACTTTACGCAAGAGTATATACAGGGCCCATACTGGTTCTTCTGCAGGTATAAAATCACCAATAATTAAACCAAAATACCTAACTAATATTAGCATTTCAGAAGCAGATTGACGAACATTCCCTTGACTAACATGTTCCATAGTTAAAGCACAAGGTTTATTACGCTCAGGTCCAAAATCAAAACCAAAAAGCCTTTCATTGAACACTTGTAGGGAAAATAGTTTCAATTCATTAATATAGTAGTATATAATAAAACCCATTATATACTTGGCACAACCTTCAAGTACATCGTGCATTACATCAACTCCGACTTGATCATATAGACTAAAATTGTTGACATCTAACCAAACACACTTTTCTTTAATTCCAGTAGTACTTACATTATTCTCATTTAAATGAATATAATACTGGTCAATTGTTCTGAGGAGAGATTCATCTTCATAGCATTGAACTCTCAAGTTTTCTTTTCTTATATTGCAAATTCGACAAGGAAAATTAGAAGAAAAACTTTCTACAAAACCAATAATGGAATGAAGCCCTAAGTTGTCTCCTAAAATTAGACCTAAGTCAAAGTATAATGTACCTTTAAATACTGAAGTATCAATTTCTATACCAACATTTTGCAAAAAGTTTAATTCGTCAATCACAGGTTTAAAAATTACGTTATTTCCAAACTCTACTCTATCAGAAGAATGAAAAAGTAATGTAAGAAAAATATTAGACAACATTGAAGAACGGTGTAATGGTATGCATGGAAGAGATACATAAACTGCTCCTAACTTGTGAATTCCGGAATGACTACCGAGAACATTTCCACTCTCAAAATCATCAAAAAATAAAAATAGTGGCAAGACAGTCTTTCCTTCAAATTTCTTAATTCTACTCTGCCAAAAAGTACCTTGAATAAAATTCCCTAAGACACTTTTGTTACTCATTAAATTCGTCATGTTTTCTAAAGTTTCACCAAGAATATTTTCAAGTGAAAAAAATTGTTTCAACACTTTGCTTAATGGTATAAATTGTTGTGAACAGTTGATTGGTTCAAGAATAGAGACACCATTCTTTATAATCTTGTTTAAACGTTGGCCAATTACAACTTCCTTAGGTTCTATATAAGTACCTTTCTCAGCAAAAAAATTAAACCTTTTATGCTCAGTTTTAAAATTACCTAATGCATTTTTAATAACACTTGTAATATTATCAACAACAGTAAAGCATTCACTAGATATTTTTTTTTCAGACAACATCTTTTTAATATAATTTTCAATGTATGCAGAAAATCCTTCTACGATAACTTTCTCCAGGCCATCGACCACAACTTGAACAGCATTTCTTGGAATTATAGGGTTAGCATATAAAGATGCAAGAAAACAACTTATCGAATGGTTTAATAATTCAACTGGATCAATAGTTAAATTGTCTTTACAATTACCATTAAATTCACTATTACTATGTGTATAACCAACTTCAGTTATTACATTAGTGTTGGTAATTGCATCTATAAATGAATATGTATCATTAAGCTGTGGAGCAGTACAGGGTTGTGATTCATACGTATGTTTTAGCAAATGTTTACGAAAGGAATTCTTCAAAGAAAAAGACCTAGAACAATTATTTTCAGCACAAAAATAAGAATCAAATTTCTGTTCAGGATGAAAAAAATTGAAATGATTAAATAAAATTTTAATACTATCAAATGTCTGATTACATAAAAAACAAGTCACCATTTTATATAAATATGTATCAAATACAAATAAAAGCAATTAAAATTCTTATCTACTAGATAGTTTACTAAAATTTACTTGAAGAAATATTATTCATCTTCGGTGTGACGAATACCAACATCTGACATGAATGCGTTCACAGCTGTGTAATTTTTGTCCCATGGTGTTTTTAAATTGTATAAACCTCTTTGAATGAAATACCAAATTCCCGATGATTCAACAGGATATTCAGCGTTAAGAGTTAAAAATATTTTGAAGCAGCAGTCTACAGATGCTATTATAGAGTTTAATCGGTAGAATGTGTTATCCACAACAACCAAATATGATGAAATTTCTTTTAAACTGTGACCAACTATAATAACAAAGGGTTGTAATGTCTGGCCAAATTCAATCAACTTGCTTCTTCTTCTTGTAATAGTTTCTTGGATTTCAGAATCACTACGCACGTGAGTTATAAAACCATCCCTCACTTCGATTTTTGAAGGTCTCCAAATTTTTGACTTCTTGCTTCTTGTGCTGGAAACACTTATGAGGAATGAGAGACTTAAAAGTGTGATAATATTAGAGATTTCCTCGTTTTCTAAAAATTAACAAAATAGACAAGATTATTAACATAATAAATAAAAAAAAAGCTTTTCATAAATTTGTAATAGATATGGACAATACTTTTTTATTTTATTCAATATCCTAATATAACTTTGTTTCACTATACAATTGTGGTTAGGTTAATATGTTTTATTAATAATTAGCCTATTTGAAATTGAATATTTTATTTCTAAATAATATGTACTATTATAATCTTTTAAATCTAAAATAATAGCCTTGACACCATTTGATTATAATAAGAAAGTTTTAAAAATTGTAACTTAAACTAAATTGGCAATAAATAAATTGGAATAGTTGGCTAAGAACCATTTGGTACCTAGTAAATTAAATGCATTTATATTTTAAGAGGTTAATTTGTAGGTACCTCGTACCTACTATTTTACATAGGTACAGTACATAAATAAAAATATCTACATAATTCATTATAATAGTAACCATGTTAACATGTTATCAGTTGCAGCCTTATAAGCACATGTGATATGCCCATACAGTTTGTGGCCCCCTCACCCTTAAATATGATTTAGATCCACAGTTGGCTTCAACAAATATAAGAGAAATAAAATGAGTATTGAGTATCAATATAGAATTTTGTGGTCCAACCAATTTTTGCGTAGTATGTATAGTAAAAAATTTAAAAAAATAATCTCAACTAACCTTCAAGATATAGTTTTATATATTTGTTCAAAATGTTATTCACAGTTTCATCTCTTGTTTTATTCACTTTAGCTCTAAGCAACTCAAAAATATTATTTTTGTAAATGATCAGGTTTTGATACAATTTATTTTCTTTGCCTGGATAAGACACTTGGAAATCTTTTAAAATCTGTAAAAAAAAAAATAAGTAAAGTTAATTAAATAAGTTTTTTTTTTATTGATTTTATAAGATGGCTTCAATTAAACTTACAAGTAGATAGCCTGATGGTTTCTTAAGAGCTGGATATTCTTCCATATACTTTGCAATTGACTGACCATTTTTTGACATCAGCTTCTTTAAGCGTACATTAGTGGTTATATCCCAATTCTTTTCCACTAATTCCCATGGGTCACTGGAATTTTGTAACCATTTCAACCCTTCCTCTACAGATGAATGTAATTCTTCATCTTCCTCCTCAACAGAGTGTTGGAGTCCTTTTGACAAGGAAAAAGAACTACTAGAAGAAGAGGATGTCGAACTTCTTCTTGATGTTTGTATTAACCCAGACTTTCGATATTCTCTTCTCCTGTTATTTAGGCAGTCTAGTAGTTTTCCTTTGGCCGATCTTTTCAGTCCAGGACCGTATTAAATATAAGGAATAAAGTAGGTGGGTGTACGCTCTTGGTGAAAAACTGAGGTTATTTGATAGGCCAGGTCTTGAAGTCTTGTAGATAAAACACGCTTCTGTGCATCATCTTTAAGTTCTCTATTTATAATAAGATTACAGAGACGTCTACGGCCTACACTATCTAGTAGTCCACTTTGTCCAAAACTAGCTAATAATGACTTCCCTTCGTTTGTACTTTTGAGCAAGTTGTGTACATCATCCTAATTAAAATCATATATTACTTAGTAGGTATCAACAATTTAAAAAAAAGGTTAAAATGGTTTTAAAGTATTTCCTAAAAATAAAATAATTGTAAATCAGTATGTAGGGTTAGATGGGGTTAGTGCGTCATTGGGGTAAATACCTACTTCATTTAAATATTTTTTATTTATTTATTTATTTATTGAAATACACGCCCGAAGGCAATCAGTACAGAATAATTGAATACTTAAGCTAGTTTGAACAAAAACATACATAGATAAAACATTATAACATTACAATATTAAATATACAATATTAACTTAATTATTGTTAACACACTGGTTTTATAAGTTGGTTGTAGGTATACAATATATTAAACAGAAAAGATGTTTAGAAAGAAAATATATTATTTTGCAACGCTTTTTGAGAGGAATGAAAAATATCAAATTTGTTTTGTAGGTTGTTACAGGAGACTAATGCTCTGTTAATAGGGGAAAAAAAACCGTAAAGTGTTTTGTGACTAGGAATGTGGAAGGTCGGCCGGCTTCTAGAATTAAATGTAGGAACTGATAAATTAATTTGGCTGAGCAGAAAACTATCTTTTATAGTGCCATGTAAGATTTTGTAAATAAATATGACATCAAAATATAGACGTCTTGAACTTAGAGAGTTGATATTAACCAGTCTTCTAAGTGGTTCATAGCAATGATCAATTATTATGCAATTGTTAGGAATTTTTGTATTAATAAATCTTAGGAATTTATTTTGAACTCTTTCGATTTTATTTATCCATACAAGTTGGTAAGGGTTCCACAAAATGGAGCAATATTCAAGTACTGAACGTACTAGAGCGAAATAAAGAATTTTTAATGATACAATGTTATTAAAATCGCGAGTGTTTCTGATAATAAAGCCAAGTGATCGTGATGCTTTTATAGTTATTGATTGAATGTGCGCAGTAAAAGAGAGTGAACTAGAAAAAATAACTCCAAGATCTTTAATAGAGTCCACTTTAGGTAAAAGGTAATTGTCGGAGTAATAAGCAATATTGAACGGAGATTTGTTACGATAAAAAGAGATGGAATTGCATTTATTAATGTTAACTTGTAAACCATTATTATAGCACCAGGCTTTGAAATTATCAAAGTCGTCTTGTAATTTAGAGCCATCATCTAATGAATTAATATTATAAAATAGTTTTAAATCATCGGCAAACATACTAAACTGTGCATGTTTAAAAACTAAGCCAACGTCATTCATGTACAATATAAAAAGTAGTGGTGAAATATGACCTCCCTGTGGGACACCTGAGGGGATAGAGATATTATTAGAAACATAACCGTGAAGCCTTACCTTTTGAGATCTACAAGATATATATGAACTAAACCATTTTAACATGAGATTATTAACACCCATCAACTCTAACTTACGAATCAGCACAGCGTGGTTAATAGTGTCGAACGCTTTACTAATGTCAGTATATATAGCATCGACCTGACCACCTTTTTCAATAACATCCATTAAATATTTATGATATGCAACTAAATTTGAAGAAGTAGAAGTATGTGGACGAAAACCAAATTGTTGTGGAATTATATATTTAGAAAAAGAGAAGTTTAATTTAGGAAGTAAAATAGATTCTAATAACTTAGGAATTGATGACATAATGCTGATAGGACGATAGTTAATAATATTAGAGCGATCGCCGTTTTTAAAAACTGGCTGGACATAAGAGGATTTCCATAAGTCTGGAAATGTGCCTGAAGACAGTGACAGAGAAAAAAGGTAGTGTAAAGGAAGCGTTAAAGCATACCTACATTGGCTTAAAACTATTTCCGGAATACCGTCAGGGCCAGGTGAGCTATTAAGTTTACATTTTTCTAGTGCTAAGAAAACTTCTTGAACAGTAATGTCGATTTTTGATAGATCAATACAATCGGCGATCGTAACCTTTAAATCATCAGTTGATGGACAAATGTGTGAGTAGGCCGAAGAAAAGTGTTCTGCGAATAAATTAGAAATATTTAACCCGTCCTGTGCAGTTTTATTATTTAAAAACATGACTTTTGGGAAGGTGTTTAATTGTTTGCGGTCATTAATAAATTTCCAAAATTGTTTTGGCTTACTGACCAATGATAATTGAGTCTTGGATATGAAATTTATATAACAGGAACGAGATAGTTGTTTGCATTGTAGGCGAAGATTTGAAAAGGTGAAGTAATCTGAAACGTGATTAGATTGTTTATATTTAAAATGGGCTCTTTTTTTTTCTTTTATTAACAGTCTCAATTCTTTATTAAACCATATTGGGAATGAATTATAATTATAAGTAACAATAGGAACATGTTTTAATAAAACCTCGTGACATATTGAATTAAATTTATTAACAGCTGTATTAATATCTAAATTTAAAAATGTTAATGACCAGTTAATTTTATTTAATTCGTAAATAATGTCAATAAAATTCACTTTTTTAAAATTGAAAAATTCAATTTTGTGTGGAAGAGTATTAAAAATGCGTTGTACTTTAGAATAGATTCTTAACGGTGGGTGATGGTTATCGATAGGGACAATCGGATCTAAAGATAACGAGACTGACAACATAGGAAGGGATGAAAAAACAAGATCTAATAGTGAGTTATTATAATTAAGTATTGGATTGAATTGGCGGAAGTTAAAATACGAATAACCGAAAAGAATAGAATCAGATTGAGCAGTGGTAGGAAAAAAGTTGACACCGGAATTTGAATTGAGATCGTAACGTGCAGAAGATAAATTGAAGTCACCAGCAATAATAAACTCGCAGTCCGCGTATTTCGTACGAAGCAATTCTAATGATTGAATGTGAGAGTCGTACATATCAGGGCCACTGGATGGGGGGATATAAACACCACCTATAATTAGTTTTTTATTACCAACCGATACTAATATGAAAAGTTGTTCTACGTTATTTATCGGCACAGATAACATTTTAGCGGCATATAAATTATTAATTGCGATAAGAACACCACCACCTCTACGGTGGGGACTAGTAATTTCATTCCTATCAAAGCGAAACAGTTGATAATCGGTAAGACCTAGCTCTGAGTCACAGAAATCTGCAGTGAGCCATGTTTCAGTTAATATACAATAGTCAAAATCGAACAGTGAATAATTACAACGCAAAATATCTAATTTTGTGCGTAAACCGCGTACATTTTGGTAGTAACCAACGAAATTAATAAACTTATCAGCTAACTTATTTTTAAGGTTAAAATTAAAATTACAATTATAGTTAAATACAAACGGAGTTGAATCTTCATTGACATTGGAAGGGCGTGTATTGTTCAGTTTTTTGAAATTATTGTTGGTTGGCCTCGAATGTAACCGATTCGAATGTTTGTTTCACCGCGACTTTTTCTTTCTGACAGCGTGTTCCAGACAGCCTTGAACTGTTCTTGTTGAAGCTTGGTTTTATCAATATCAATATTTAGGTGTTTCAGCGTTTCAATATTACGGAGTTTAGACTTTGCTTTAAGGATCTGATTAACACAGTTAACATCAGGTAGATTCACCCTAAGCGGACGACGTTTGTTATAATTATTACCAAGTCGTATAGCATTTAGAGCTTTTATGGGTAAGTTTAGGGAAGAAAAAATTGAGTTAACTAGAATTAATTCGTCAGGGGCACTGTCAGAGGTGCATTCCGGAGCATTGAAAATAATAATATTACACTTCCTGCGATCTCTATCAGATACTTCGCTACAAAAGTCTGTTTTTTCAAAATACGTAATTTTTTTTTCGAGGACAGAGATTTTTTCCTTTAACGTGTTATTTTCCGAAATAACATTATTCAATAATTGTAGGGTCTCATCAAGTTTTTTTGTAATTTTAGATTCTTGCTGGGTAAACTTACTTTCCAGAGACTTTACTGATTTAATAAGTTCTTCAAGACTTAAACTAACAGGTTTTTTTGTAACTGTTGGAGACATATTTTGTGAACAGTATAGACACTTCCACGAATTTAAATCCGAAGTATTAAAGACACAGTTTTTATGAAAAAGTAAATTACAGAGACAACAGGTGATAGAGAGTTGATTTCTATTGATAGTTAATGAACATAATACACATAAAACCATTACATAATGTTATCTTAAAACCACGAGTCGTAATCTATACGTTAACGGACGGATGCGCGATAAACACGACCGTCTCTAGCAGAGTCTAGTACTGTACTGTACTAAATATATAAGTATAATAACAGATAGGTAGTTATATTGTAGCAGACATAACTTAAATATTGTACGATAATATTGCATGATAATGTAAAAATATGATACTTATAGCGAGATCATAAACCTACAATTTAAGCTTGAAAACATAATATAAGTTGAACTTTTTTTAGTGACGCACTTTCCCTTCCCCTAACTTTATTGGTTATTTTATATTTTTATGATCACATATTATATAGGAAACAGCCTGTGTTAATAAATAATATTATAACAAACGTTGAAATAAAATGTAAAATGTTTAATGTATTTACATTTGTTGGTGATTGCAGTGAACTTGGTACTTCTTTAGACTGTTGTTCACTTTGTTGCACTACTCCCAAATCGTACAGATTTATTAAAATATGATTCTCAGCTGACAAAGTAGTTGACGTTAGTGTAGGCTAAATTCAAATTTTACTTTAAAAGAATATATTTTAATACAGAGGTATGAAATTATTTTAATTTACCTTTAAGTTGGTATGTTCTTCACTTGAATTTTGATTTAGCTCTGTTTCAAACTAAATAAAAAGAAAATGATTAAGAAAAGAAAAAAAAATAAGTTTAATTATATATTTTTTAGTGATATATCTATTGTGAAATTAAATAATATTCAAATAACTAAATAGGTAAGTACTTTAAAATAAAAATATATGATACACATAGGTATATCATGATACATTATACACAAACAAATAATAATTAGACTTATATTGGACTTTACATTAATTTCTGAGGATCCTGTCATTCCTTGTATAATTAATCTCCATTGATCAATATTAGTTTTCAATTTAGCTCGATGACCAATAATGGGTACCAACTCTCTTATCATATCATCACTTAGCAATCCTAATGTCTTAATATCTATTTCATTTTCTATAAAATAACATAATAAATAAATAAATAACTAAATTCAGTTCATCCATCAGTAGAACAACATTAACATTTAAATTAAAGGTTAAGTATTAGTAAGTATGAATTACAAATTGGTTATGAATAGAGAGCGGATTTTTAGTTTCTTAAAATATGATCTTACCTATATGTTCAAAAAAAACATAATACGCTTCAAAAAAGATTTAGTGAATTAAACATATTTTTTAATAAATATGGAAAAGATGTAAAAAATATGAGAAAAATATATTACAATATAAACATATCAAAGTTAAATTTGAAATCAAATAATATCAGAAAATACCTATTGTATTGTTTTTAAGGTATATTTCTAATAAACTTATATGAAAAAACTGTGGCATTATTTGAGGGCCCCACCCTAGATTTTAATAGGCTGGTAAAATATTAAAAATGTTTGACTTTTGGTGAGACTACAGGGCCTGATGAAGAAAAAAATAATATTTTTAAGTTCAAATAGATGCCTATCTCGTCAGAGTCCATGGCATTAATGTTTATTTAATTGTTACAATTGTAACAACGCAAAAAATGTAGGTTTAGTTTTGTCTGTAAATGTCTACTTAAGCTAGGTAGGTATAATTTAAATAAAAGGTACGTACATAGGTAGTTTTAAATGTTTTGAGACTCACCTCGAAATATTTGAATATATTGTGAGAGATCCCAAGCATTTAGAAAATCCACGACATCTTCGTCTGCCATACTTAGATCTTAAATATTGACTATGTATTTATAATGAAAGATGTAACACTATATAGACTATAGACAAGTCACAAGTATAGTAACTAGTAAATGCACTAAATAATAACGTATAAAAACCAAAAACTGAAAGAGTAAAACTGTAAAAGACAACAGTTTCGAAATACAGTTAGATACGAATAAGCAAAGCTACAAACGATTTCGGCGGCGGACTGTGGAAATGCGGAATGGATATAAGTGTGTGTGTGTGACACGTGTATCGCACGCATCCTGGAATTCCCATAATATTATACCGTTATCGCTACTCTAATTGTGGATATTGTATACTTTACTAAATAGTTGTTGAGATTACAGTAATATCACAAATATCTGTTGTAGTTACAACACAACAAATAATTGTAACAAATCTTTTTGGCTGCCTGTAACAATACATTTTAGTTGTACTTAACAAACACTACTTGCAAGGACTAAAATACTATTTGTTTGCGAGCACCGTTTAATTCTTGCTGCGTTTAAATTTTTATACTTGGAGAAACATTATAAACCGTTAGAATTTCATTCTTGCAGTAGATGCAAAATATATCATTACTATTACATAGTAATTAGTGTATACAACATAACACTAAATAACAAGAATAAATTAATACTTGTAACAAAACGTTTGGTTGGATGTAAAAAATACTATAGCTTGTATTACGGTATTAGGGTTATTGCAACAATTTATCATTTAACAGATCAATTTTGTTGACAAAACCACTCCGATTTTTTTCAGTGTATATTATACACAGTACGGGCACTAAAGTTGTATTTTATACCTACCATCGTTTGAAATAAAATCAGTGCAAGTACCCGATCTTTTGTCGCTTCTATATTGTTCGTTAAGGCTACGTCAAACAGAAAGCGGTTATAGGCCTGTAAAATAATTCAACCGACCGCTACACCATGGAGGTCAGCTCTCCGTTTGACTTGACCTATAGTGCTGCTCTAAATAGTTACCGTAGGTGTAGTACTCATAGGACACAGGTTTATGGTACCTACCTACCGTGGTATCCATGGCCACGGTAGAGCCGGATACACGGCTGCGTCGTGTCGATCAAATCGTATTGTGATTGGATATTACTTTTTTGATATCATGTAATAACCAAGGTGCAACCGAGTATACCAAGAATTGACCACTTCTCAACTTTTAAACCATATTAGTTACCTGTGGTAACCATATAATAACCAAGCCCTCGCATGACTCGACCCGACACGACGTAGCTGTGAATTCGCCTTAACCCGGCCAAGTTGGTTTAGGAACTATACTATACCAATATACCATATTATACTTACCACTACGGCACTACATCTGGTAACTAAAGGTGGGTTTCCACTACATACGTGTACGTTTACATGCATATATGGACCGGTCGCATAAACGTTTCCCATCGGTTGATCGGTTAGCATTGGTAACATATTATAGTTACCTCGTATATTCTTATGTTATCAAAATCGTTATCGATATAGAGCAGTGTACACGTGAAAAGTTGAACTGGATTCAACTTCGTGGTATCGTGGTCAAGCCTGTGGTAAGAACGTAGAACATTCTGGTATACCAAAAGCTTACCATGTATACCAACCAATCACAGAAAAGTATTTTTATGCACGTACACGCACACGTATCTAGTGGAAACCCACCTTAATGGTACATACTACACAACTCCGACGCCGTTTGGACCGCGGTCCGTTCCGCGTCCACCGAAACGTTTTTATCGGCTGCACCCATAGATTTAAAAATTGATATAAATGTTATACATTATATCTGTGGCTGCAGCGGACGACGTTTATCTTTTTTCGTGGCGTCTCTATAATGAAATTCCAGCAGTATTCAGTAACGAGGAATTTTATTTTGCTTTCTTAGACGATTATTACGACGATCGATTTGTGTTTTATTTCTAAAGTATAAAAATCTATCGGTGATAAACAAACACTGTTCTGTTGGGAATAATTGCAAGTAAGTAGTATACTATAGTATAGTTAGGTAAATAAGAAATTTGAGCGTTATAATACCTATCGAATATGATTAAACTGTGGTCTGTGTTGCGTAAATATAAATAATATAATGTTATGGGGATCAATAGGGTTTTGTTTTTTTTTAGACAAAAATCTGACCAGACTTTATTAATTAATAACCTAAACACAACCGGACCTCTTATTGACTTCAAGTTTTTTTCTGTGCCGTGACGAAATATAACTGTTTTTTGATTTAAGTAATTTGTTATTAAAACCACGAACATGTTTTTTGTACAATTTCAGGATGGTATTTAAAATATAAATGTATAAGAAATAGGATTCAGAATGTTTGTAAAATTTATTATAATTCTTTATTTATTTTTAGTATATTAATACGAAAAATTAACTATAACTTAGTATTTTCTTTTATCATAACCTATAAAATCTATTGCCTATATTTAATTGAAAACATTTGTAAAATCCTTATTCATTTTTATTATTTTTTATTTTAACGTACATAATAATATCAATGTTATAATATCTAATGATAAATAATGATACCAAGTTTAAAATTATTTTTCGACCTATTTGTGTTAAAAAGTAATGGATTTTTTTTTAGAGTATCAATATTACAATACACTTATTTAAATATTTATATATTAAAGTAATTTTTCAAAAACATCTTTTTGAGACATTTTTATCGGGGACTTTATCTAGGGTGTTTTTTTCTGATTAAATTTACATAATGTACCATCTTTATAGTAGCTAATATTATTCTATGAATTATGTGCCTAAAGAAATTACAAACAAAAACTTAAATACTTTTGTCTATTATAGACAAAAGTGAATATGGTTCAAATAAGGAATACCGCCCATAAAATTATTATTTTATTTTCACAAAATATTTATAATATGACCTAGTTTCAATTAATGATATTATTTGAAATATATTGTCTGTGTTTGAGTTATTTATAGGCATAAGACATTTTAAATTTTGTTAGTTTTTTTTTTAAATTATTTTTGTCGATCAATATTTTTTCGCTTGGTCAAAAACTTTGAAATAGAAGTGGCAAGAGCTATATTGTTATAACATTTATTTGATTATATATCTAATATTATAATATATATTCAACATTTGAGTATTTGACTGCAACCGCTTTGCACCTTACACTATTTTTTCAACAATTTCTGCATAATATCATAAAAGTAAGTTTTCATTTTATGAAATTATTATTACAATTTAGTTTATGTACAGTATAGCCGTATTAAATAATATTATGTATTTTATTGTCTACCGCCGCCGTGTACCTACTTAAATATTAAACAATTTATTATATCATTCAAACATTTTGATGTTTTTATAAGTTGTAATCATTAAAATAAATATAAATTAATAAAATAACAAGCCCCCACGAATTTATTAACTTATAATTTTCAACACATACATATTATTTTATTATTTGTAAATAATTTTTTGTTGAGGTTTATGCATACCGACCGTTTCTAAGGAGTTCAATATAGGCAATTTTCTAATAGTGCGTCCACGTGGGCAGTGTAAATGTGTGCGTAGTAAGTGATTATTAGTGTGATTGACTGTGTATAAAATTCATAATGGAGCTCACCCGCACGTACACTCACATGTCTGTAACGTAACATTTTACACTCTAATTACAAATGTGAATATTAGTGAAACACTGAAACTTAGTTTGGTATTTCCAATAATAGAGCTTACTGAGTGACATTACAGTATGAACACCTATTATACAAATTTAAGAGAAGAAGTGTATCTAGGCTTTTATTGGAGTCGATTTTCGATATTTTATTTTCAACGAGTAACATAGAACATTTTCGGCGTTCAGCCGAATATATAAAACCGAGAAATTGGCATTTTTCATAAATATACTTATAACATGCCTGAAAATTTAAATATCGTAATAAAACCGTCGGAAGAACACAGATACTGTTCTTAAAGTCAAGTTTTATGTCAGTTCGATTCACTCTAATACTGAAACTAACTACACGAGGTCGGTTCTCCTGAACGAACATTGTCTATGCTGTGAGTAGGTCGGAGAGAGAGAGAAAGCAATTAATGACTTCCCGGAGAACGCTGCACTCACACGTGCCGTATATGACCTTGGTTTTAAAAAAACGCATAATATAAACAATATAATATCATACTTAAATTTACGTATACAACAGTTCCGATTTTTTTTGTTGTGCGTTATTTCTATTTGAGTGAATGGATCTTATATTATCAAACTCATAGGCGAGAACATGGTTTATTTATGTGTTCTTTCGTTGGTTTTTTTACAATATTTTAATGTTTAAGTGACTTAACGAGTTTGTACATAAAGTATTGACATTACAAACAGTGCTCACAACTCGCTTAAAAATGTTGTAAAAAACCAACGATACGCCACAGGTGACGGTTTTGTCATTTATCTTTAGCTACCCAGTCATCAATTCACTCTTCATAATAATATTAAACCCTTAATGTCTTATTAACAGTGTAACCGTAGCCGAACGAAAATTTGGTACCACAATAGGTTGTCTGTATATTATATAACTGAAGACAGCGGTAACGACAATAAGACACGTGTTGATAAACGTTCTCGTGGAATGTTACGCCGGCTCCAAAAACCAGCGAGCCCCCTCACACTTTCCTCGCCATAACCGCTCAGATGGAATTAATTATTGACGTGTTTTCGAGCCGTCCGAAAAAAAGGGAACAGTCGGGTTTTTTCGACGCATGCCTTTTTTCAAACATCGATCGACTATATACATATTATACCTACTACAGAGAGATAAAACCAGTATAATATAATTATTATATAATATTATTATGAGGAAATTCAGTAGTATTAAAATGATAATAATAATAATAATAATAATAATAATATCAACAACAACGAATATTATTCGGCAGCCGCCGAGTTCATAGCAATAGTATGGCGTACATGACGAAAGATCCATTTTTTTTTCCACTGTATAACTTGTCTAATGTTTTTCGATTTTACAGTACTATATATGTACGATAATATTACTAACGTTTTGTAGCGCATGACATCGTTGGTCGCCCGTACAGGAGGTGGCGGTGGCGGCGGCGACGACGTCTCATTGGACGGCTCGTGACCGGTCGGTAACAACGACGCCACGAGAGCGGCCGAATATTGCCGACGCCTACGCTTCGGTGGCACCGTGGTCCCGAGGCCACCGACGAACAGCGCTCGGCGTCGGCAGCTCAGTCGTTTCTTGCGAGTCGTGCGCTACCATCGCTGTTTGAATTTAAGTTCTTACGATCCTGCAGTCTGTACCCGTCAAGTCTCGTTGCTTTTTCGTTTACCGTTTCACATCAAAATGCCTGGCTTAAATTGCGAACTTCCCCGGGAAGGCGAGGATGATGAGTCAGAGGCAAGTGGCTTCTGGACACCACCCTCGACCATCGGCGAAGATGTCGAAGAAGTGCAGGTACCCAGAAACACCGCCCGACGAGCCACACGGCGCCCTAACACAGCCCGGAGATCCAGAGCCAGCCGTCCTGGTGTGTTCGCCGTGAGGCGAGGCCGACACCGACAACCTATAGCGTAAGTTACAACAACATCATTATAGCATAATATTTTATTTAATTTTTAACGGGGTGTGAAAATAAACGAATCTAAATCTATACAATGTACCTTCACTCTTAGGAAGGGAATATGCCCATCTATTACCTTAAATGAGCAAATCTTGCCAACCGCGCAGAGCACTCGCTATCTAGGCATAATCATTGATCAACGCCTCACATGGTCTCCTCATCTTCGCAGCAAACTGCTATCCTTAAACAATCGATTTCGTCTTCTCCGCTCTCTCCTAACCTCCAAACACATAAAACTACCAACCAAGCTTCTAATATATAAACTTTATCTTAAACCAATGTGGACGTACGGAATTCAATTATGGGGCTCTGCAAAAATTTCAAACACTAACCGTATCCAACGCTTCCAATCCAAAACGCTCCGAGCCATAACTAAAGCACCATTCTACGTGTCCAACCAGACCTTACATAACGATCTTGCCATCTCACCCGTCTGTGATGTAGCTAGAACTTTTTATAGACGATTTAACTTATCTGTTAAAAACCATGATAATCCCCTAATTAAAGGACTTGCGTCGGCAAACATACCCGACAATCCTAGGAAAAGACTAAAAAGGCGGTGGTGTCGGGACCTATTAATTTAGTTAATTACCTAATCTTTTTCTATTTATAAATAATTGTTAACTTATTTAAATGTATATAAACAGCTGACAAAGTGTCTTCACTGGAAGGCTTCTTAAATCCGTCCTTTCCTCAAGCCACTTATTCATTCAATTATCTATTTTACTTATTGTTCATATTTTTATTGTAACAGATTGTAAATAAAAATTATAAAAATAAAAAAAAAAAAAAAAAAAAAAATTTTTAACGGACAACAACAATGTACGAGTGCGAGCGACGACTTTACGCGGAATGTCAATTTCCGTTCTCGTCGTTGTCGTTGTCCGCCTTTACGCGGTTATTCGGTGCACCAATAGTTAGGTATTTCATTAGTGCTCCGACACGCTTTCCGGATTTTCATGAACGATACACAGCTTGAGTTGGTTATCGAATGGAAATCGAGCGCGACACGCGTTCGACGTACCGGCGAAACGTATCGGTACGCGTGGAAATTTCGTTTTTGAAAATCTCACAGATTTCTATAATATAATATAGGCACATTTTGTATAACGACCAGCAATATGGTGGCGGACGTAGTGATAAAGTTTTGAAATAAGGCTTCACTATTTCCAATGCGCGACTACGGCGCGCGTACCTATAATATATTGTAGACATCTGTCGAAAATGTCGCGAAACTCTGTCATTTTCACATGTGCCTAACTAACGATCGATTTTTACTCCCAACAGCGAACAAGAATTTATCGAACTCACACCATTTGAGCGTGGTCTTACTTTTAACGGCTTCGCTCGGGACCTCGTGCCCGAAAGAATAGTAGGCCATCAACTAGAAGGCTACCGGAAGAACCTCTATTACAGGGTAAAGTGGAGAACTGTCGAGGAACCTAAACTGATAGAAGCTAGCGTGATGAAAGCCTATAGACGGGACCTGATTGTCGACTACTTTGAAAAGAGGGTTAAAGAGGATTTTTAACGACCTTCAAATTTTCCACTGGTTAGTATATTTTAATAATAAAAATAATCACAATAAATACAACACAACCGTGTTGTTGAAATTAAATTTCTTTACAATGGTGGGCACAGAAATTTATTATTTTATTGTCATGAGATTACTCACGTCAGTGGCGTATATAGAAAGAATTTTTGGGATGGGCAATAGTAGATAGAAACTAGCAAGGGATCTATTATTTAGGAGCTGTATACTATATATAATTTAATTGTTTCTTTAAATATATTCGTATTTGTTATTTTTCAAGCAATCGGCTAGGTATTGAATTAATAATTATTTTGTTTATGAAATTATCCACACAACTATTTAGGTCCAGTAATTTCCCCATTCTAATATGTTATAGTAATTATATGATTATTAACTTGTTGTTTAATTTTTTTTGTTTTAGGACCTCCAGCAAGATTAATTCGGCTGCAATGTTCTTTTTTTATGATTAATTTAAATGTATTATTTGTGTTTATAATGTATTATCCTCAAATATTTTTTTTTTTTTTTTTTAAGCATGTATAATAATAATTTTTGTTGAACTTTAAATGTTCATAATTTATTTAACTACTACATTAATTATTATACATGATTTTTTTTTTTTATTGTTGTATGACTTAAACAACACGACTGCATATAATTAAGTATAACAAATAAAATAATGTGTTTCCTCCTTTACAAAATAGTGTCGACTCATTTTTTCTTCATAATATTTTTAAGTTTAAAATACACGCAAGTCGAATATTGGTACGAAAAATGAATTTTGCTGAGTTCAACATCATACATTTTCATAATCTCAGATATACTACGCTTACAACTGAGAATAAGGTTATAGGTAATTAATGTGTTATTTTTAATGTTTTAAGGTTTAAGATAAAAAAACATACAAAATGTATATTGTAAATACGATAAATAGTAGGTCATAATTCAAGAAACAAAAATGTGTTACATATCTAATTTGGTACACAGATTTACGTAGGTAGGTATAAGTAGTAAAGGTGACTTCTTTTGAGTATTCCGATTAATGGTATAAAAATAATTTATAAAATATGCTTAAAATTGTTTTTTTTAAGTAAGCTTCACCTTACCTGTATTTGCTAAACATCATGTCCTACAGGAAAAACTATCACGCCTCATAAAGTGAGCAGATTTCGATAATTTTTTTTTTTTTTTGGAAAGTGAAACGTTTTTTGCAATTCACGTTGCACTTTGATTTTCAAAATATTATTTAATTTTAAGTTAGTTACACGTGTATGTAAAATATTAATATTTGAAAAATTAAAATATTGTAAAAAACCAACAAGAGAACACAGATAATAATCTTACATTTAGGTTTGATAATAGGTCAATTCACACTTAATAATACGAATTTGGAACTACCTATAATAATAATAATAATTTATTTTTTTTTGCAATAACACAATTTTTTTACATCAAAATATCAAATGAAAAGACAATATTGCAGCACCCACGGTAAGCAAAGGTTTTGCTGGGGAAGCAGTTCTTAAGAATATAAATAAAACAATATAATAATAAATTTTAGTATGAATAAAAATGGAGTATGGATACCACCTAATCAAAATATAGGAATATAGTGAAATTTTTCCAATTTAAAGTATCATATTAAATAACAGAAATATACTAGTATAAATGTAATACATACCTATTATAGTGAAGAATTAAATTTAACGTTTTAGAAATATTATAAAATGACAAGAAAATACATTATCTTTAAGCTTAATCTAAATTTAAAAATTTAATGTGTTTCTTACAATTAATTAAATTACTAAAATTATTTATATTAAAATTAGAAGTTAAACATAATTTAAAATATATAAATTTATATATCTTATAATATTTTGTCCATAAACTTATACACGATTTGGTAAACGTATATAAATATTATGTTTAAATCTAGTTTTGTTTTCGTGATCAAAAATAGTTGGACGTAGGTACTTTTTGGAATTATTATGCGTTAGTAAGACGGTCACACATAATATTATGCGAGTACGACGTGTCGAAGTCCTCTTGAAAACATATTATAAAGTGGAAGATTAGGATATTAGAATCCTGAGGACAATGGGAGCTGTAGAATATTTTCGACCATTAATTAAAATAAATATATACAATTTGAGTTGAACGATGAATGTATTGATTTTACAATGATGTGTTTTTTTTTTGTTTCTGTGTGCACGTAGTCGAAATAATGCTTCGATTTTCAACTTCAGTATCTTGATCGATTGGAAAGTGAATATTATTGGTGCATTGAGGAGATAAAAATTTAAAATTCACAGTCATTTTCAAAAGCGCCAAGAAACACAAAAGAAGAACGGAAAGTTTTACTCAAATTGAATTTAGTTTTTTGTGTAACTTTAAAACAAATGACCGTAGATACATGAAATTTTCAATGGTTGTTAATAATTACATTTTCTATACACGATAATATTTTGATTTATTTTGAACTATTTAGGGACATTATCATTTTCCATTTTTTTTTAGTTTTTTTTATAAAAATATCAAAAAAATTTATTTGTTGGTTAAAAAGCTTGAAAATTTAATAGAAGGCTCCTAGTATATTGTTTCAAAGGCAGATGAAAAATATTAAAAATCCTTAAAAAATTTATAAAATCTGTAATTGTAGTATAATTCTTATATTAGTATAGAAGTCTGTATGTACGCTCAGTACCATCACCGTCCTTCGGACTCTGTTTACGTCGTTCCGGTATTTTTTTTAACGTATCGATGATGGTATTAATTCGTTTTGTAAACACCAAACACACGTTAAAATCACGTTTTGGAGCCACTTCCAGGTGGCAACTGGTGTATAAGAACAGTCAAAAAGTCAAATGCGTATTCATCGATCATCATTTTTCGTTGGCAAACGAACAACGCACAACGACCATACGACGAGTGACAAACTGCAACAGTCGTGGTCAACTACTGAATAATTTGTAAATGTCGAAAATTCGAAATTTAAATGCTTATAAAAAAAGAATCTTGTATTACATTTTCAAATCTTAGATTAAAAAAAAATGTATGATATTATACTAACTCAAAATTATAATTTGCAAATTTTAGTAATTTATAAGTGTTTTGTCAACATTTGAACTTTAAATGGTTATAAAAAAAAATTGTCAGCATGGATTTTTAATATTTTTCAAATATCATTATAACAATATATCTATTAGGAGCTCAGAATCTAAAATGAAATGTATTAAATACGGCAAATGATTATACAATAACAATAACACTGTACGTCGTATACACATCGTACACACTTCTTTACCGGGTCGTTAAATATTGTAATCAATTCTCGATATAAGTATAAAATTCAAAATTATAATTATAGACGATGAGAAGATTTGTGGCGATTTTTTATTTTTTTTTAAATCAATAAGATAATTATGTAATATAATATAATGCTTAAAATCTTAAAATATGCAAAATCATGTAAGCTTGGTCAAATATGCAACATACATTTTTGTATTTGGATTGTGTGTACTGTCAAACGAGTTTGTATCGCATCAGACTTTTAATATTATATTATGCACCTTCTTAGGAAATACGCAATTGCATAAAGTTCCGAGCACTAGGTACAGTAATAATTGTGATTTTTTCTGGCCACTACTTCACTTATTAGAAATATCCGTATCGATAATCAGTAAACATACGATTGTCGGGAAAAATCATATTTTTATAACATGGAAAAATACCTTGAAAAATATTATGTTTGGTTAGGTACAACGGGCTCTAACTATGAGATTTGTTGAGGCCGAAGCCTAAAACCGTACTATTATAAAATTGAATAAGCTTAAAAAATTTAGTAAATGTTTAAAAGGCTGTTAATGTTGTTGGCTACAGTTGGCCTTATTTACGCATATGGTACCGTACGGTTTTATAAGTCTCTTTGTGACAAAACTGTGTTACAACTATAATAATTGTAAACATTTAGATAATAGATTGTACTAAGCAATGTATATTAGTAGATAGGACGTGTTCGTTTATCACGGTGTTCGCATATCACGCTATTACTTATTTTAATATTTTGTGACAGTATTTTTAAAAATTAAGTCGTTTTATTTCAGGATAGTTTAAAAATCTCCAAAACATGCAATAGTGTAATCTGTCCATCATATTTATCAATAGGGCTAGGATTTTGTAGCATTTGCATTTTCTTTCATAGTACTCCAGGACATAGCTAATCAAAAACAAAATTCGATTCATTCATCACAGAGTTCAAATATGCAATTTGTTTTGCTTTTTTGCTATTTCTTGTGATTTTCGTAAATAAATGCTTTATTGGTACTTTTTTGTCAGTTTATTAGCTTTTTAATTGGTTTTTGTTAATTGTACGCATATTTTTTAACATTTACGTACATATTTATCTAAATTATTATTTTTTACGTTTATTTTAATTGTATAATTATATATATTTTGTGAATTCGTAGTGAAATATTATCGCCTTATCGGAAAAATTGTTTTCAAAATATTACAAAATATCAAAGAAATTTAAAATATCTTATAGTCTTTTTTAATATTTATGTAATAAACAGGTACCTAAAATATAATAAAACAGTTTTTAATTTTTTTTTTCAATATTTATAAATTGTACTTAGTTGTTAAAAATATTTTTCAGCTAAACTTAAAAATGTTTAAGTCTTTTTTAGTTGCATTTTCCTGGTTAAATGCTTTTTTTTTTGTAGCATTATTGGCAATTTTTTAGTTAATTTATTGTAAGTTTTTAGTACTTCATTTTCCTAGCCTTATTTATCAATATAGGTACCTACCTATATTCGAATTAGTAAATTCATATATAAATTATTTTGGTCGATTTTGACTGCATGTTTCGATAGTTTCTAGTGCGCAACAAGTCTAGTCCCGAACCCTAAATTTATTTATATACGAAAACTGTAAAAACTTGGTTGTAATCTATACTTAAACACCCCCCCTCCCATTTCATAATCCTGGGTTACTTGTAA